AATTCATTAGATTAAATCAACTTGACAATGAAGGTCCTAATTATGAATTTTAAAGCCTAAGTATGTAAAGGTGCATGAATAAAAACCAGGATGACAATATATAATAACATAAGAACAACAAAATGTCCCCCAAACTTAAAATTGTTGTTATTCTTAGTAAAAATGTCTGCAGGATCATAGTTATTCAAATGATATATCCTGCTTGGGAAATGTCGATAAGAGATATGATGTCATGAACAGAATTTTCTCTTCTAAGGCATCTTTTTAAAAATTTACGTTTTTAAAGATATACCCTTATTCTCAATCATCCTATGGGTACTAATCTGTTATCATATCCTTCCCACATAAATTTATGTTTTCATCTGAAGTAATGAGCTCCACAGTTGAATTGGACTATGCAGAGTTGGACCGTGCAATTTTTACTTAGCCCAAACTGACATATTTATTTCATGGTTTGCTCATTTCAGAATATGTATCCCATTTAATTCAACAAATGTTTACTAGGTGCATATTTTATGCTAGGATCTAAGATGAAAAGCTAGTTTTTTTTTTTTCCTTTCAAACGCTAAAAGTTGAGGAATTTGAAATAAATTTTAAGTTAAAAAAAAAGGTTCTGTTCAACCCCATCCATCTCTTTCACGATATTTTGACTTTATTTACTTCATTAGTTTTTATGTCATGCTTGCTTATAAGTATGATTACCTTTATAAACAGACAAGTTTCAAGAAGATATGATGGTTAATTTTATGTGTCAACTTGACTTAACTGATGGTTACCAGATAGCTAGTAAATCTGTTCATATCTGAGCAGGTGTTCTTATAAGAGGTTAGTGTTGAAACCAATAGACTTGCGTAATGAACATTGCCCTTGCCAATGTGGGCAGTCATCATCTGGTCCATCAGAGGCTCCTAATAGAACAAAACAGAGTGTAAATGTGCTCTCCCTTGAGCTGTGGCACCTATCGTCTCTGGCCCTCAGACATTGGCACTATTGGTTCCTGGTTCTTTGGGTCTAGATAGTACATTGGTTTTCTGGCTCTTCAAGTTTTCAGATGGTAGACTCTGAGATTTTTCAGTCTCTAAATGTCTGAACCAATTTCTGTAGTAAATATGATTGACAGATCTCCTATATGTATTATATAAGATATAGATATAAATTTTTTCTACTGGTTTTGTTTCTCTGGAGAACACTAACAAAAGAGAAAGCAATCTAGTACTCCACACCTCAGAGATAATCTCTACAAGTGCTTTGTCTATTCTCTTCCAATGTTCCTTTCATATTGCCATATTTCTAAATCTAATCACAAGATCAAGATGTAAATATGACTGAAATATGACTATTCTTTTTTTAATCAATTTTTTAATTTATACATGACAGCAGAATGCATTACAATTCATATTACACATAGAGAGCACAAATTTTTCATATCTCTGGTTGTATACAAAGTATGTTCACACCAATTTGTGTCTTCATACCTGTACTTTGGATAATAATGTCCATCACATTCCACCGTCATTTCTAACCCCCTGCCCCCTCCCTTCCCTTCCAACCCCTCTGCCCTATCTAGAGTTCATCTATTCCTTCCATGCTCCCCCTCCCTATCCACTATGAATAAATCTCCTTATATCAGAGAAAACATTTGGCATTTTGTTTGGAAGGATTGGCTAACTTCACTTAGCATTATCTTCTCTAACTCCTATCCATTTACCTGCAAATACTATGGTTTTATTCTCTTTTATTGCTGAGTAATATTCCATTGTGTATATATGCCACATTTTCTATATATCAGTTGGCCATTTGTATTTTCTCTTTTGAGAAAAAGCTATTCTGTTCTTTTGCCCAATTTTAGTTGAATTATTTGTTATTGAGTTGTTTTAATTCCTTATAAATTCTGCATATTAACCCCTCATCAGATGGTCATTTTTAACTGATTTTTTAAACTTTTTGCTCTTCAGACAGTTTCCCATACAGGCTTCTTTGGAAACAAAATATGTTTTCTATTTTCCTCATTATTGATGCTGGATCATTCTTCTAAAATCACTGAACACTATTGTCCTGTAATTAGACATAAGAGTATGATGCACCTCCAAAACTTGAGTCACTCCCTCACTCCTGGAACAGTTTATTCTTTGACCTCTACTTCATCACGTATTCTAATCACTGGCCTCTTCTAAGCTGATTTTGCTGGTTTGCTCTGTCTCTGATCTCTAAATGTTGGAAGGCTTTGGAACTTAGTACTATGATCCAGGTTTAATTGGGTTTCAAAGTCCAAATTATCTCCTTCTCATTTTTGCTATCTAATTTGAAAGTGATTTCATTCTTTCAGTTACTCAGACAAAAATGAAAAATATCATTGTGGAGTTGTTCTTGACTTCTCTCTTCCTCTTTTAAACTCATTCAATGTATTGATAAATTTACATCCTAAAAAAATTTCTTTATCATCACTATGTGTACCATTTTTCAGATTTTAAGATATCTGAATTTGGTAAATGACAAAATGAATTGTGGCCATAGACTAATTGGAAGTTCTAATTGAGAACCTAAACTGTATATTTTCTTTTTTGGTTAAAATGTACTTTAAATCATGCTACTACTTGTCTTAGAACCTTCCAGTGTTTTCTATTTCCTGCTACATAAACTCAGAGTCATTACCATAACTTAAAAGGTATGTTTCTGTCCTCATACCTCTGAATTAATTTTAATTTTTTCTTTGCCCTGTCTATTCGGTCATATTTTCCTCTGGGCACACACCCATCTCCAATACTCTGCACTTACCAGTATTTTCCAGCTTGGAAGGCTTTTCCTTCAGATAATCATATGTCTTTCTCCTTATTTTTCTTCAAGTCCTTCAATAACCATCACTTTGTCAAGACAAGCCTTCCCTGCCCAACATAATATAAATCACAACATGGATCCATCAAACTCTCTATTGCCCTTCCTTGTAATATTTTCACCACAGCACTGATAAACTCAAAATATATTATATATTTGTCTTATTTTTATTTCTTACTGTCTATCTCTAACTAGAAAGTGTCATAAAGAGGGAAACTTTCTTTTTATTGTTTTTTGAGTTTTGTTGTTTTGGGGTGTTTTTTTGTTTGTTTGTTTGTTTTTGCTTTTTTTAAAATTATTTTATACTCTCCATGCTAGAACTGTATCAGGCCCCAAATTGGCGCTCAATGATGACTTTTATGAATGAATGGTTATATGACATAGATGTAAATTGTCTTTTATAAAAGTAGACCAAAGTAGAAAATAATAGTACTCCTTCTTTTTAGTAGCTCATAGACCTCACTGTTTTTTCAGCCCCAGCCAGCACTGACTTGCCAGCTATGCTGGGAAGACATCCAGAAAGGGAATATTCCAAGTCACCTGACAGTCTTCCTCAGAAAATGCCATTTGGAACAAAGACAAACTGATCCTATCACACCCTGCCCATATTGCAAATGCATAAGTTTATTAGTCTGCTTTCTGCTTCTGTAACAGAATACTACAGACTAGGTAATTTATTTAAAAACCAAAAAGAAGAAGAAGAAGAAGAGGAAGAGGAAGAGGAAGAGGAAGAGGAAGAGGAAGAGGAAGAGGAAGAAGAAGAAGAAGAAGAAGAAGAAGAAGAAGAAGAAG